GAAGGGTGGACGGGGGGGGCGGGCGGCCGCCAGCTCAGAAGCCGGCGCCTGCCCGCAGCAAACCATGGATCGGTGATATCTTTTCCTGCCCCAGTAAGAATGCATGCATGGGGGGACGACATGAGGCCCAGCAGCACGCCATTGCGTGCGCCAGAGGCCTTGGAGGAGACAAGAGGGGCGGGATGGAGGCGGGGTGGTGGCAGTGGGGACGGGAGGCTTTTGCCTCGCGAAGCGAGGAGGCAAGGGGGTCCCCCTGTCGCCCCCGCCGCACCAGCCGCCCCACGAGGGCGCGGCGGATGGCGGCGGGGAGGGACAGCTGGGCACAGGGCGGGCATGGGTGTTGCTGCTGTGGTCATGCACGGGGCAGTCACAAGGCAGTGTCTGTGCACATGTACCGTGCATCGAATTCGTATTGTTGGCGCTGCCTGTCCTAGGGGGCCGGCGCGGCCGCCGGCCGTGCACCAGGCCAGGGCCGGGGAAAAGGGGTAGAGATGTACAGAGGGGGGCCCTGGAAAGGTGCCGCGGCAGCAGCTGCCCGGCCAGCATCGGGCGGCGGCTGCGGGGCGGCTACGCCACGTTGGCCGCATCGATCTTCTGCTGTATCAACCGCTGCGCAATCTCAACCGCCTGCGGACAGGGTGGGTGGGGGTGGAGCAGCAGGCAGGGTTGAAGGTGGGGCCGGGGTGGCTGAGCTGTCGGGCGCAGGGCACCACGCGTGTGCAGAGCGTATGCCTCGCCTTGCGGCGCAGGCGCGGCCAGGCGAGGCCGGCGCCCGGCCGGGGAGCGGCCCACGCCCGCCGCTGCGCCCACGCCGGGGGCTGGCCGGCCGCGGGGCGCGCACCTCTGGCGTGCCGGTGATGCTGCATGCCCTGTCGTGGGAGCCGGGCAGGAACTCGCCCTTCTTGGAGATGCGGATGCTGACGCCCAGCAGCTCCTTGATCTGGTTGATGACGGCGCCCTGCTTGCCAATCACCACCCCCACCTTGTCCTCGGGCACCGCAATGGTGACAGAGGCGCCGGCGCCGCCGCCGCCGCCGCCGCCGCCGCCGCCGCGCGGCAGCGGGGCGCCGGCCCCCGGCCCCAGGTGCAGCATGTGGGGCGCGTTGCCACCCAGGCCGCCGCCGCCGCCCAGGCCGGCCATGTGGGCGGGGGGCGCGGGGGTGTACTGCTGCGGGGGCGGCGAGGCGCCGGGCGAGTACCGCGTGCTGTAGCTCAGGTTGGCGTCGGTGAGCAGGTGGTAGTCGGGGTTCTCGCTGCGGGTGGGTGTGGGTGGTGTGGGGGGTGGGGGGAGGGCACGGGGGGGGGCAGGGGG